TACAATTATTCCTATGCTTTCAAGTGTTTTTTAATGTATTTTTGTGAAAAGCAATCATATAATTTTTGTTATTGATGTAATAAATTATGCTAATAGTTTTCATTATGCTAAACCATCCCTGCATTCCTGGTATAAATCCTACTTGGACAAAATGTATAATCTTTGTGATATATTGTTTTAACCTCCTAGCTAGCATTTTATTTATGATTTTTGCATTCATATTTCTTAGTTAAATTGGTCTATAGTTCTCTTTCTCTGTTTTTGCTCTTCCTGGTTTAGGTATCAGATCACATTTGTTTCATAAAAGGAATTTTGTAGGACTCCTTTTTTGCTTATTATTCCAAATAATTTAATACTGGAATTAGTTGATCCTTAAATGTGTGGTAGAATTCACTTGTAAATCCATCTGGTGCTGATGCTTTTTTCTTAGGAAGCTGCTCATTTATGGTCTATTTGATTTCTTTTTCTAAAATAGGTTTATTTAGATATTCTAAATAATCTAGGTAATTTATATTTTTGTAAGTATGATTCCATTTCACTTAAATTGTTAAATTTATTGGCATATGATTGGGCAAAATAACTCCTAGTAACTGCTTTGATTTCATCTTCAGTGGTATATTCACCCTTTTCGTTTTTGATACCATTGATTTGGTTTTCTTCTCTAGTTTTTAAAAATCTTATAAACCAATGGTTTATCTGTTTGATTGTTTTTTCCCCCATAAAACTAACTCCAAGTTTATTTATTAATTCAACGGTTTTCTTACATTCAATTTTATTAATGTCACCTTTAATTTTTAGGATTTCCACTTTAATTGGGAATTTTTAATTTGTTCTTTTTCTAGTTTTTTCATTGCATACCCAGTTCATTGGTCTGCTCTTTCTCTATTTTATTGAAATAAGCATTTAGAGATATACATTTTTTTTCTGATTACTGCTTTTACTGCAAATAATGTTTTAAAATCCTTAAACTCATGTAGTATACTTTTTTTTTTTTTGCTCCCTTTCTTACTTTTGCAGCCTCATCATGTTCTACTTCATTGCCCTGGCTGGAGCACACAAACGGGTTGTAATTCAACTCAGAGAGCAGTTGGCTATGGTAAGGTGAAATCCAGAGTGTAATGATCCCAGAGGCCCATCTTTCCTCTATGGCCTATACAAAACCTACAGTTTTTCAGGGCAGAAGTGGAATGACTTTCTAGAAACTCTGCCTAGTGACCCAGCATAATGGGGACTTGGATAGTTTGTTCTTTGTACAGGTTTTTTTTACCTTGATCAGAAGGCGGTCACTATCATGGTGGTTTTTAATCCAGTCTTCTGAGTAAGAACGTGCTAAGATATATGACACTTAGGCTGATATACTTAGCAATAATTGTAGGGATACAGACTGACAGAGCAAATATCTCCCCAGAAAAACAAGAGGGCAAGGCTGATCTGCCAGACTTTTCTAAAGGAAAATCTGGCCAAGATGCTGACAGTGTTCCCTTGTATAAAGTGAACAAGTGGCTCTAAATTCATTATTATTAACATTTATTAAGCACCAGCAGTGTACATGGTACTTGGATGAGCTATTCAGTTAATGAACAAATATTTCATAAGCATTTACTATGCTGTAGGCATAGTGCTAGGTGCTGGAGACACAAAGAGGAAAAACAACAGCTCCTGCCCTCAAATGGCTTAGATTTGCTTAGGCATTTGAAGGTAGTAAGGGAAGGGTTAGTTTTGGAACAGAGATAGTAAGATTCTGGACCATAGGCAGCTAGGTGGCGCAATGGATAGAGCACCGCCCCTGAATTCAGGAGGACCCGAGTTCAAATCCTGCCTGAAACCAAACACTTGACATTTACTAGCTGTGTGACCCTGGGCAAGTCACTTAACCCCAATTGCCCCCCCCAAAAAAAAAACAAAAGAAAAAGAAAACAAAGATTCTGGACCTTAGAGAATGTAGAAAAGACAAGGTATAGCCCTAAAAGTTTCATTATAAATTATATGTAGCTGTGGAATGTAGCACAGGGAAAACTGCAAACGCCTCTTTTTTATTCTAACCCTTTAAGCACTTTTTATTCCCTTTAAAATTCCTATGATTTCTTGGTGGGAAATTTCTTTGACAGCTCCTAGGAAAGGTCAGTCTTGATCTTGTCATCTAGAAGGTAGTATGGTAGAAGGTCTCTCTGAATTTGAGGCAGCATTAGAAGAGGATGGGGTATGGGAAAGGGTTGGGGGGGCTGGGAGGTGTCTGACAGATTTAGAGTATAGTGTAGAATTCCAGAAATTCATAGTGTTAAGGGAGGGTTAAAAAAATTTGTAGCAGTTCTTCCTATTCACCTAATCTGTCCTTGTCCTCCTTTTTATACTCTGCTTCTCCCCTCTCTAGTACCTCTTCCTTCAGTTAGACCCTTTTTATTAACACTCAACCACAAGCAAAGTCAAAATCTAGATAACTGCTTATTCCATTTTACTTAACTTCATTCTTTTCTTTAAAAATTTTTTAACGTAATTTTTTTATTTTGAGTACCAAATTCCTTCCATCTCTCCTGTCCAACCTGTTGAGAAGGCAAACAATATAATACCTATTATATATGTGAAGTCATGTAAAACATGGTCCTATGACTTCATTCTTAACTAGTGAGTCAATACGTACTTATTAAGTACCTACTACATGACAGGTATTGTTCTAGGGACTAGAGACACAAAGATAAATAAGAAATGGGCCTTGATCACAAGAACTTTCCATTCTAACAAGGATAATTCATTATAGAACACAGAGTTTAGTTTGACCAAGTCAGTAGAGTGGGAAATCCATGTTACCAAATGGTTGTGTTCTGTTTCTTTGTTGGAAGTAAACAAGGAAGTCTTTAAGAATATCTGAATAAATACTATGCTTAAACAGCAAATACCTTAAGTGTGTAAAGAATCAAATCTGCTAGCATTTATTAATTGTCTATTACGTGTGTGCCACGCTAAACACTAGGGATGTAAAGAAAGAAAAATCCCTCCCTCCTCTGAAGGAGCCTCCCAATCTAATGAGGGACACAACATATAAATTTCTTTGTACAAATAAGATAAAGACAGGATAAATTGGAAATAATTTCAGATGGAAGCCAAAGCATTAAGAACCAGGAAAGGCCTCTTGAAGAAGATTTTAGTTGGAACATGAAGGAAGTCAAGAAGCTAGGAGGTAGAGATGAGGAGGGGCAGCATTCCAGGCTTGGAGGCCAGCCTGTGAAAATGCACTGAGGTCTGGAGATAGTTTGCCTGGATCACAGAATATATGACAGTGAGTAGGATATAAGAAGAATGGAAAAGTAGGAGGGGACCAGGCTATGAAGGGCTTTGGAAGTCAAACAGATGGCGGGGAGGGGGGAGCAAAAGGGTGGAGGGCGGGGTGGAGCAGAGCCAAGACGATAGAATAAAAGAGACTCCCCCAAATACCTGTAAAAAATGACTCTAAACAAATTCTAGAGCAGCAGAACCCACAAAAAGACAGAGTAAAACAAATTTCCAGCCCAAGACAACCTGGAAGATTCACAGGAAAGAGCTGTTGCACCAGGCTGAGAGAGGAGGGCAGCATCAACACAAACCATGCCAGCACAGACTGGGGGCCCCAGTGGACCTGGAGCAGGCCTCAGTGGACTGAATCATGGGCAACTGTGGCAGTTTCCAGACTTCTCAACCCACAAATGCCAAAGACAGCTTAGAAAGTCAGTAGGAAAGGTCTGTTGGACCTGGGTGGGAGAGGAGCATGGTCTGACCCCCCATCCCCACCCCAGCGCAGCCCTGGCAGCGGTAGCAGTTTCCAGAACTCAGCCCACAGATAGTAAGGGGATCAAACAACTGATCAGAAGGAGATTACAAGGATCTCTTTGTTGGCACTAAGGCAGGATTCTGTTGCTTTGCCCATACTTGGATCTGGTTCACATTCCTGGGTGGTGGTCCTGGGGTAAGGAGTAGCACTGGCATGGCAGAGCTTGTGGAAGCAGTGGAGAGGGAACCCTCCTCACAGTTCCAGGGCAGAAAAGAGTGTGTGTAGTCACTCATGGACCAGAACACAGGCCAGGAGAGGAGTAAACACTTTCTCCTTAGATTATACCACCTTGGAAGAACTGAAAACTTACAGGTCCTTAGAAGTATCTCTGAAAACAGCTGCACAAAACCCCTGAAGCTTGGGACACTACATTCTCCACACTGGAAGCAGGAACCTACCTTAACAGAATTAAAAAGTCGAGTAATTGCCTAGGAAAATGAACAAACAGCAGAAAAAATACTCAGACTATAGAATTTTACTTTGGTGACAAGGAAGATCAAAACATACCACTCAGAAGAAGACAACAAAGTCAAAGCTTCTACATCCAAAGCCTCCAAGAAAAATATGAATTGGTCTCAGGCCATGGAAGAGCTCAAAAAGGATTTTGAAAATCAAGTGAGAGAAGCAGAGGCCAAATTGGGAAGAGAATTGAAAGTGATGCAAGAAAATCATGAAAAACAAGTCAACAGCCTGCTAAAGGAGACCCAAAAAAATACTGAAGAAAATAACATCTTAAAAAATAGCCTAACCCAAATGGCAAAAGAGGTCCAAAAAGCTAATGAGGAGAAGAATGCCTTAAAAAGCAGAATTTGCCAAATGGAAAAGGAGATCCCAAAGCTCACTATAGAAAAAAATTCCTTAAAAATTAGAATAGAGCAAATGGAAGCTAATGACTCTATGAGAAACCAAGAAATTATAAAACAAAACCAAAAGAATGAAAAAATAGAAGATATTGTGAAGTATTTCAGTGGAAAAACAATTGACCTGGAAAATAGATGCCTGGAGTCAGGAAGAATCATTTTCCTGAGTTCAAATCCAGCCTCAGACATTTGCTAGCTGTGTGACTCTAGGCAAGTCATTTAACCCTATTTGCCCCAGTTTTCTTATCTGTAAAATGAGCTGGAGAAGGAAAAGGCAAGACACTCCAGTATCTTTGCCAAGAAAACCCCAGATGGCATTACTAAGAGTTGGACACAACTGAAAAACAACTGAACCACAACAACAAGCAGATCAAATGGTAACATGACAGCTGGTATTCTGGCATTAGCATGGTCTTGGTTTTAACTTTCTCTGTTATATTCATTTCTTCATCTAGTAATGTCATTTGAACAAGCATTTATTAAAACCATGCTATTGTAGAGTGCTGTGCTAGGCACTAAATAAGATAATGGAATTTAGGTAAAATATGATCTTTGTTCTCATAATTAAACTTTTTTTTTTTTTTTGGCTAGGCAATGGGGTTAAGTGACTTGCCCAGGGTCATACAGCTTGTAAGTGTCAAATGTCTGAGACTGGGTTTGAACTCAGATCCTCCTGACTCCAAGGCGGGAGCTCTATCCACCACATCACCTAGCTGCTCCTCCCCATAATTTTTACAGTCTAGTACCTTGCATGCAACCCAAGTCAGAAACGGAGCAGGCCAAAACTTCCAAGTCAATCAGCAGTGGGGTCAGGGAGTGGTCATTGTTTTTCCAGACTGGGTAAGATAGGGAGATACAGTTAAAGGAAAAGATTATTTAGTTTAAAATCATCAGTTTTCCTGGCCTAGCAGAGATTTCACACATTCATACAAGGGTAGATGAGGTGGTATAATGTAAGACTTAAACAACTGAGTGTTTTGTTTTATGCTACCCCATCAAAACTAGATTAATTATCATGAAGCTACCTAGTTATGAAATGTTGGGGGATGGGGAATGGGGGTGGGGAGAGTGTGTTGTCAGCTGGGTCTGGAATCCAACTAATTCCCTGTCAGTTAATTGTGTGACAAATGTTGTAGCCTCGAAAACAAGGTTATTGTATCTCCAAATGTATGTATGTATTTATTTTTAGGAAAGTCGAGACAAGCACTATCTCATTCGGAGACTTACAGCTGCTCAGGAAGAGATGAAAAACCGACCAAGCTGATTTTGAACACAGTTCTTTTTCCTTCCAAGCCAACTGAGCTACCATACTGAACCTCCAAAACTCATCTGTAGAATTTTGTACAAATACTAAATGTATTTTTCTAGAATTCAGGCATTTTCTGCACTGTGATACTATTATTGCTGCTGTACTTTTGGATTATGTCAGTGTTTACATAACCAATTTCTATTTGAGGATTTTGTAACCTGTAACAACAGTTTGAACTGAGACTGTGCTTGTAGAATCTCAGCTCAGTGACTATGAAAAATCTTTTAGGCTTAGGCTATTTAAGTTTTTGCAAGGGAAGAGGGAACAAAGAGAATTTTATCATTTTTTCAGACAATTTGAGAAATTTTGTTAAGTTAAATTTGAAGGCCATTAGTTCATGATACTGGACTGAAACTAACGAGCCAAATTCCCATGGCATAAAATGAACAACTTTTCCTATGACACTTTTTTATACTTCAGGGTTATGCTAACCCTACAATAGAGGTTGCTTTGTAAAATGAGATAAACTCCTAAACCATCATGTTGTTAGCAGTTGGTAAGAAAATTGGAAACAGTCATATAACTAGCATTAAACTTTTAAATTTTAGCCCCAGTTTGGTAAGATGAGATGCAAAAATGTCCATCATCTTACATATGAAGCTCCTGCATGACTTAAAATTATTTTTAGATAAGATAATAGATAACACTAGCCATGCTTTCTAACTTCTATGGCAGTGGAGGGGTAAAACAGGAATTTGTTTCAAGGAAATAGATGCCCTTTGAACTTTTACCTCTCTTTTAGGGCTGATCTGTGTTTTCTGGGAATAACACCTGTTGTTTCTAAAAGTGGAAGAAGGTAGAGTTTTCCTTAATTCTCTAAAGTCTATTTCCTTTTATGTTTTGTAGTCAGTACTTTTAAAGAACATTTCAAGCTTCAGAAATGTTCTGGGAAGCATGTTTGGATTTTGGGTTTTTTTTTTTTTGGAAGGATGTTTTAGGACGTGTTTTATATTTCTGTTTGGCTATGGATATGTGCTTTGGGATTATGCTGTCACACCTTTCACTTCATGCTAAATCCCTCTTACTCCAGATTGCAATACAACCTAACTCTCTCAGAGCCTTTTCAGATACAACAGTTTTAAAAATGTACTCAACTAGATTTTTGAGGAGGAGTTTAGCTTCCTTATAACACATACAAGCACATTTCAAAGTATTTTTTATTTGTTTATAATATTTATAATTTTTCTGTACATGTACATGTATTTAATGAAATATGACAGGAAATGATTTATAGCTCCTATTGTAGTAAAAATAAGAAATAGATGCCTTGAAATTCACTAATATTTGGCATTAAAGAGTTATTCTTTTGAGTTATTCCATGGCTTATCAACTAATACAACATTTTCAAAAAGGAGGGTTAAGGTCTAAATCTTTTTAATATATGCAAATCTTATTAAAGCAGCTTGTTTTCATTTAGTGTCTTCAGGCTTTTTTTTTTCCGGTGTGGTTATAATTGTTTTTCAAAGGCTATTTTAGTGATAATTTGGTGCTGTTTTTCTTTTTTTTCAAACACACTTTAGGTAGTAGCCTGAATTTCAGAAGAGGCTGATGAAGTTTTATAGAAATGATTGCTGATGCTGAAGAATATTGTTCAAGGATAATTTCTTCCTTTTATAGACGATTGATCCTTGTTTATAGAAGCATTTTCTGGTGTCTTGCCACAGAGTGCTTCCCCTTTCTGAGTGTAATCCCACTGCCAACCAACTGTTGTTTCCTTCTAATTCCACCAAGCTAGTTTATAATGAAAAGTAGTTTAAGATTGACTTGAGTTGCAGCAGGGATTTCTAACTCTTATCTTGTGATGACTACCAGAAGCAGGAGGTTTTCAGGAACCATCTTTCTTAAGGCCTTCTGCCTTGTATTCTTACCAATACAGGCTGCTTTTGAGTATGCAGAGGTTCATTATCCTCACTGAAAAGAGGAACTGCATCCATTTCTCACCACTGTCAACATTATTAGCAAGGCTAATTCCTATAGTTCCTGACAAGTGCTGTTTTCTGCTCTTTATTAATGGAAAAGCTCAAAATGAAGAATTACTGGGTTGTTTTTTTTCACTGTTTAAGAAATGCTGATTAATGTATTGTAGTGAAATGTTGACTTTTGTAAATATTACTTGGAATTTTTTGTCAAATTGTAACTTCTGGTTAGAGCTGTAGGATTAAAAGTATAGCTCTTCTCTACTTACTGTGTATTAAAACTATTAATAAAAAACAAAATATTTGAAATCTTAGAATGATTACATGTATGTTTAGACTCAGGGTTATTCTGTAAGGAAAAGATCCTGGAAATCTATTAGTTTTTAGTTACCCTTTTGCCTTCTCATGGAAGTAAGTAGAGAGTCTACTGTTATCTTCAAACAAAAGCTTTCCAGTGACCAGTTAGAGATTTTCTTTTTGGTGGAGGGAAAGGGAGAGTAGTTTTTAGATGTTCCTGAAAACATCTATTTATCCAATCCAATCAAATCACACCTAAAGCTCTAGCCATCAAAGTAGTTCTGGTTTCTTCTCACCAAAGAAAGAGAAATCTAGTCTTTAGTTGGCATTCTTCCACAGAGTGGTGAAGTGTAGATTTTTGCATTGGAAAACCTGATATTATTTACCTGACCATATTCATTCAACAAATATTTAAATAAGGCACTGTACTGAAGGAATAGGCAACTATGTCCCCATACCAACATGGTAACATAGAGAAGTAAGCTTCTGAACTTATCTTCCTTACATGGAACACTGTCAGCCTGTTTCAATTCAATTATATTCTATTCAGTTAAATATTAAGTGCCTAATTTGTTGAAGAACCAGAGGAAAAATGGCAGCCTCCACTCTCAAATGAATTGATGGTTGTGTTGGTAGGTTTTGCTTAACCATTTTTCTATTATAAGGGGAGACTCATGGGGGAATGTGGGAAGTAAATATATCCAGAAATCACTGTGATATAAAAACAAAAGGCATGAATAAACTTTCAAAGAAAGAAAATAAGTACTGGAGGGGAGATGCCAGAAGTACAAAGAAAATTTAAGTGTAGGGTATGGTGGTGGCAAGGAGGGAACTAAAGTGCTCTTGGAAAATTTGAAGAGAACACTTTTAAAAAATGGAGGGAGACAGGTGATCTAACCTTTAAAGAGAAATTTAGGCTCAAATATACAATGGAAAAAATGGTTATGTCAGAAATATTATATTGGAGAAAAGGATTCCTTCCTTTCCCCACCCCACCTTTCTTTTATTATTTGGAGAAATATTCATTGCTCATGGGTAACATGAATGAAGCATTATTTTGCTTTTATTAAAACCTATTTATGTGAAGATTGTTTTGTAATTGTGTTCATATAGTTCCTATGTATGTCATGATAGGTCGACTCTGAAGTATTTTTTTACTGTCTGTATTTTATTTTTTAATTCTTAATTTGTTTTTAATATTTCAAAAAATAGGTCCAAATTATCTCTTCCACCCTTTCACCCCATTGAGAAGGCAAGCAAAATACCAGTTGTGTACATGTGATGGCAAGCAAAACATTTCCACATTAGCCATGCTGCAAAAACAAAACAAAATACAATAAAAAGCATGAAAGAAAGTGAAAAAATTACGCTTCTATCTGCATTCATAGTCTATCAGTTCTCTCAGGAGATGGATGGCATTTCTTATCATGGGTCCTTTGGAATTGTCTTAGATCATTGTCTTGATCAGAGTAACTGTTAAAATTGATTATCTGAAATAAAAAGGAAAAACGGAGAACAAAGTTACATAGCTATCTACCATTTCATCTGCAAAGTTTAGTATTTGCATATTAAACCAGGTCACCTGATTCTTCAGAGGTCAGAGACAAGGAGTGACTTAAAGAAATGATTTTTATAACAAAAAAGAGGAATTGGAAAAATTATAGAAATTTGTTTTCAACATAATTCCATTGGACAGCTAGTTAGCTTCTCCCAAACTCTCTTAATCCTTTCCTCCAGGTAATACCTTTTGTAACCAGAAAGTGTACTGGGAAGAGGTGGTCAGTGGTCAGCAGTCACCCTCCCACGTTCCTCAGCAGAGTCCATTACTCAACTTAGACTCTAGCTAAAAAAAAAGAAAACTTAACCTCTGGTTAACCTTTCTCCAGGGGCTAGAAGGGAGAGCTTGGCCTCTGATTAACTCCCCTGTTTGCTAGAAAGGGGGACTTCGCCTTTTGAAAAACCTTATTATTTTATTCTTACCATATTGCTCTATTGTGCACAATATTCCCCTGGTTCTGCTCACTTCATTCTGCATCAGTTCTTATAGGTGGTCTTAAGTTTTTCTGAAACCATCCCCTTCATCATTTCTTATAGCACAATAGTATTCCATGAGAATCATATACCACACCTTGTTCAGCCATTCCCCATCTGATGGGCATCCCCTCAATTTGCAATTCTTTGCCACCACAAGAAGACCTGCTATAAATATTTTTGTACATGTAAGTCTTTTCCCCTTTTGATCTCTTTGGGATACAGATACTACTAAGTGGTATTGCTGGATCAGCTTTATAGCCCATTGGGCATAGTTCCAAGTTGTTGTCCAGAAGGGGTGGGGACCAGTTCATTAACTTCACCAAAAGCGCATGAGTGTCCCTATTTTTCCACATCCCCTCCAGCATTTGTCATTTTTCTTTTCTGTCACGTTAGTCAATCTCATAGGTGTGAAGTCCGCCCCATTTTTCTTGCCATCCGTAAGCACACTAGTAGCAAGAGAAATTTATGATGACTCATGCTCTCGCCTAACAAAGTTACCGATCTGGGTCTCGAACCCCTGACTTTGCTCCCCTACTTTATCTCCCCAAGCGCAGGGGTGTCTCGATCTCCAAGGCAGCCCAAGGAGCGCTCGCCCTACATTGGTCTGGCTCTCTGCCAATAGAAACCCTGGCTAGAGCTTCCCGGCCACGAGGAACTGCGGCCAGGATAAGGAAGCTGTAACCGACTCGGAACGGGGAGAAAGTTTCTCCTCCTAGGACACCACCGCCCCACCCGAGCGCCGCGGAGGAAGGGCTCCGTCATAAGCGTGCGCCCACGGCGCGCCCCCAGGGCCGTCATCAGGAGGCGCCCAGAGCTGTTTCACCTGTTTCTCGGAGGAGAGGCGGCTGGGGTCAGGACGATGGAGGGCTGCGCAGGAGCGGCTGCGACTTCTCTGCTCCGGCGGCTGTGCTCTGGAGCCCGGAGCTTCCCGGCAGGTAAAGAGGGAGGAGCGGAGTCTCCGAGGGCATGTCCCTAAAACAAACCTGTGGAAGTATGTGCTACTGTATTATCCCTATTTTACAGAGGAGGAAACTGAGACTGAGAGAGAATAAGTGACTTTGTGCAAGGTGACACAGCTAGTGTCTTGGCGAAAGATTCAAACCTTCTTGACTGCAAGCCCAGTTCTTCATAAACTGGGCTACCTGGCCGGGCATACTTTTTATCACATGTAGGCACACCTTGCCAAAGAGATTGACTAAAGGGAAGAAATAGGGTTGGGGACTGGAGTTGTGATTTCATTGGTATAAGAAACTCACAGGTAAGGAAGCACCTTTCCTACAAGTTACAGAGTTGTCTAGACTGTAGAGCACGACAAGTTTAACTTGCTGAGGGGTTATGCCCTACTATATGTCAGTGGAGGCACTTGAACTCAGGTCTTCTTGGTTCCAAGGCCAGCTTTCTATCCACCATACATGTAGATTCATGAAGAAGGAAAAGAAAAAATGCTTACAGGTATTAGACTAACAAATTGTTTCCAGATAGGTGCCTGTGTGCTTGAGTTGACATGCCTGGATGTAGAAACACCAAAATGTTCCCTCTCCATCAGAAACAAGCTTTTGCTGAGAACATATTATATACCTAGTACTGTACTAGACACATTCAGGTGTACAGAAGAAGTCTAAAAAGCATTATACATGCCCATAAGAACTTTACAACCATTTAGCACCTTAAGAAAGTTTATATAGTATAATCCAAAAGACAAGCTGAATCCATATATATAGTAGACAGTAGGTAATTTCAGTTCAGTAAACATTAAGTTCCAATTATATGCAGGGTATCCTGTTTGGTACAGTATATGGGTGTGAAATCAAAACTTAAAAAAAATTACCAGTAACTCTTTGGTAAGAACCAATCAAATTTTGTGACAAAATATTGGCTCACAGGTAGAATGCAGGGTATATATGTTGTTGTTGTAATTGTTCAGTTGTGTCTGACTCTTGGTGACCTCATTTGGGTGCTGGTTTGGTTTTTTTTTGGCAGAGATGTTGGAATGGTTTTTCATTTCTTTCTCCAGCTCATTTTACACATGAGGAAACTAAGGCAAACAAGGTTAAGTGACTTGCACAGCTAGTAAGTGTCTGAGGCCAGATTTGATTTCAGGACAGTGAGTCTTCCTGACTCAGGTCAGGTACTCCGTCCATGGTACTCCATCCACTTCACCACCTAGCTGCCCAAGGGTTGCTGTTTGTCCTTCGTTCTCAAAGAGTACCATGACATCAGGAAGGTGGTGCTATGACATGCAAGTGAATTGGATTTAAGTGAGGGAGGGCTGTGCAAAGTCACCAGCCTCACTTTCACCTCCAGAGCTGTCTGGGTCCAGTGGCCAGATATGGATCAGGACAACTGGAGATGGCCCAGGATACAGTGGGGATCCTTGGCCTTTTCAAGCTAAGGTCCTTAACAGGTCTCTGTTTGACTGAGGCAAAGCCTATTCAGTGATTAAGGCTTAATAAGAAATGAAGCAAAGAGTGACTTCTTAAAAAATAAGTCCAGGAGGAGAATACTCTCAGGGTTTCTGGCCAAAACAGAAACCATTGCTATTTACATTAGGGGCCCGAACAATGAACAGGTAGGGCTTGTTCTAGGACCTATTATTGGCCAATCCATGAGAGCCAGAGTGATTGGGGGTTAAGGCTGGTCTTTAAGAGAAAAGGAGAAAAAAAAAAGTTTCACAGATTGAAAATTCACATTCTCTTTGGGCAGAGCACCTGCAGGTAAGGGCACATCCTTACCTAGGGCATACCCTATGTGGATAGAGGGAAAGAAAGCCCTACTTGGTCATGATCGGCCTAGAATGAATGTAAATAGCGGTTCTTTCTGTTTTGGCCAGAAACCCTTAAGGTCTCCCCCTTCCAGATTTTTTTTTGAAGAGGTCATTCTTTGCTTCATTTCTTATTCAGTCTTAATCACTGAATAGGCTTTGCCTCAGTCAAACAGAGACCTGTTAAGGAAGTTAGCTTGAAAAGGCCAAGGATCCCCACTGCATCCTGGGCCATCTCCAGTTGTCCTGGTCCATATCTGGCCATTAGACCCAGATGGATTTGGAGGTGAAAGTGAGGCTGATGACTTTGCACAACCTTCCCTCACTTAAATCCAATTCACTTGCACGTCATGGCATCACCTTCCTGCTGTCATGGTTCTCTTTGAGAAGGAAGACAAACAGCAACCTCTGTGAGTAGAAAAGAAGCTGCCCACTGGGGACCAAACTGGAACTGGCCAGTTGGGCAACAAACCAACCTACTTTTCTTCCTTCCTTCCTTCTTTCCTTTCTTGCTTCCTTCCTTCCCTCCCTCCTTCCCTCTCTTTTCTTTCCCTCTGTCCAGCTGCCTTAATAGCTTGTTTATAGGGAACTTCTGTATGTATAAATATATATTTATATACACATAGGTTCCCTATATATATATATATATACACACATACATACATACACACACACACATATATACACATTACATTTTGTATGTGTACACACATATAAACGTGTGTGTGTATACATATATATATATATATATATATATATATATATTTTGTAGATTGTTCAGCGCTTTCAGTCACGTCAACTCTCTGTGACTCCATTTGAGGTTCTCTTGGCCAGGATACTGGAGTGGTTTGCCATTTCCTTCTTTAGCTCGTTTTACGGATGAGGAACTGAGGCCAACAGGGTTAAGTGACTTGCCCAGGGTTACACAGAAGTGTCTGAGGCTGGATTTGAACTTAGGAAGATGAATCTTCCTGACTCAGGCCTAGTACTCTATCTACTATGTTACCTAGCTTCCCATTTTGTATATACATATTTTGTGTGTGTACACACACATATATACACATACATACACACATATGTATGCACACACACACAAAAATATATACACATATATATATATAGGTATGTGTATAGTACTTAAGCTTAGATGTAGTCTAGAAAGTAGTATGAGATAAAGCCAGAAAGGTAGAGTGATACCAGGTTGTGGAGAAACTTGAATGCTAGGATAAGGAATTTGAACTTTATTTAGGAGGCAGTAGGACTATTAAGGTTTATCAGTAGATAAGTGACATCATAAATACTTGTTGAATGATTAGATCTAGTCTTGAGGGAGATGAATCTGGCAGTAGAGTGAGGTTGATTGGAAGGGACAGAAAGTGGAAATGTTAAAACTTGTTTGGAAGCAACAGCCCTTGCAGGTGGTATTGAGAACAATTAAGAGGAGACAGTAGAGAGATGTGGATAGATTTGAGAGAAAATCAATAGAAAATTAAATACATATACCAGTAAAGTGAAGATTTAAGTCTTATCTGATCTTTAAGAAAAATCACCTTTGTTATAACTTTACATTCTCACAAAGTACAACTTGTTTTATAGGTTATGCAAGAAGTGCCAGTATCAGATTTTGCAGTACAGGAAAGACCTATGAAAAGATCAACCATGCCACTATAGATCGTATCATCCGGGTGGATCATGCAGGGGAATATGGAGCAAACCGCATATATGCTGGACAAATGGCTGTACTAGGTAGAACAAATGTTGGGCCAGTTATTCAGGTCTGTATATATGAATCTTTGCCCCTTATACTTTGTTCCACTGAAGTACTTATTTGATTATACGTAAATATATTATAGTTGTATTTTGTAGATAATTCTAGTTCTTTTTGTTTTATTCCCCCTGTTAAGTGGTATTTGAGGAAAAGAATAAGCCAGTTTATAAGGGGGGGGGACTAAAAAGGTGGAAACTTTCAATGTTTTTCCTTTTACTCCAACTATATTGACTTGTGTACTTTACATTTGATTTTTTAAATTATTGATTATATTTAAAAATTGTTTATGTAGTTAATTATATACTGAATTGTAAATGAATATTATACATTAATCCCCTTTTGGTCGGTGATTCCTTGCTGCACTGTAGCACATCCAATTATATTGCAAAAAGTTAGCAATTCCCCACCCCTTTAATAAAGAAAACAATTATTGATATTACAGAAAATATTATAAGGTTTATAAACATGAAATGAAAATTTCTCCTTCAACTTCAAAGTGCTTTCCATGCAGAATTAAGCACTTTTCTTATTTAACTGAGTGCACTACTAAGTCCAGGGTAGGATCTTAATTAATAATTATAATAGGCTCTTGGATCATAAAACTAGACTTTACAAATAAAAGACTGAAAGTAATCATGCAACCCTCTTACTACTACTGGGTATACCCATTGTGTCACCTATCCATTCTGCCTTTCCAGAATACCATTCAAGACATCAAAAAATTATTAGACTTAAAATGATAAATGTACATGTAATGAAGACACAAACTGCTAAATGACACTACTACTAGTAATGACTGTGCTCCGTGAAAGCACCTTTAAAAAGAGCCTATGTGGTGAGAGATAAGTGTCTAAAGATTCAAAATGAATTAAGAATATTGAATAACAATATAATTCTAAACTCAGAAGCTGCCTCAAGATTAGGTGCATCTTCAGTTAGTGTAACAGGAAAAAAGGGCAATGGATTTTATTTTATTAATTGCATCCACTCACAAATTGACCGAAGGTCACCAGATGTGTAGACACAGTGAGATTTTTTTTTGCAATCTTTAATTGTAATGATGATAAAGGAATATATCTATTTAAAAACAAAACCAGAACTTGGATGGAAAAATTTATATTTTTTATTTTCACTAACCTCTAAGTGAAATCTTTTCCTCCAATTATGAATGTAGGCAAATGACCATGATAGTATTGTGATAGTGCCTGGTACTTTGTCACCAATAAAAATCACAGATATTTTCATATCATATTAAAAAAAAACCAAATAGCTATTTTTGTCTAGATTAAGAGATGGCACCAAGCTTGGGATTCAGATTTTGGGTGGCCACATGTGGCGCTACTTCGGTGATCCAGGGTTTGTCTATAATTCTGGCTATAAGGTTGTCCTTCTCTACAATCCCAATAATCCATGTTTGCTGACCTTCCCCATATTTTGGGGACTTAATCTCTGCACAGAATCAAGCTGCCTGCTCATGTGGTAAACAGATGAGAAAGCCTCCTGATGTCTCTGGGCAGGTTCCATGCATAAGGCCAAACATGTTTCCATAGGCCTTAATAACAGCAGCCATCTTGGCAAACACTGGAAGGTTGTGGATGACAAAGGACACTTCATTCCTTTGTTGCTTAGTAAGATTCTAATGTCCCAAATATCCCCATAGAATAAATTAGCAAGTGAGAAATAATTCACTTTAATTCTGTAAGAACTTTGTAAAATAACAAGCCCAATATTCCAAACCCTGTGATGTCCGTGGCTGCATGCACATTAAAAGTATGCATAAGCCCAGCAGCTGTTCAGTTGAGCTTTGCCATGGTCATCATTGCTTCTTGATGTGCCAACTCCACATCTTCCTGGGCGACCACAAGTTTAATTTTATTCTACTTTTCTGGTTCTGAAATATCCAGCCACTGGTGCACAGTTACGGCTACTTGTATTTTGTCAACTCAAGCATGTCTCTTGGCACTGCATTGTCAGGCATGATAAACTCATTGGGCTGACAGACTGTTGTAGCCACTCCATCCAACATGATCCAGGGATTCAATACTGTTTGGCCACCAGTTACAGATGTTCCTGCTTCTTCTGCAGCATCTTTAAAATCCTGTATAATTAGGGGCATCACTTTGTCCCTTTCCTTGTCTGTCATTTTATTACTGATTCCAAGGAGCATCAACATGTTGTCACATTCATTGACACCCATGGCATAAAAGTCACTTTGAACATTGGCACAGGCTGTTCAGCCCATCATGTAAGGACCATCCACAATAGGATAAATGTAATCTGTGGTCTGAACAAAGGAAAGACCACCATGTCTCAATGGAATAACCAAGTGTCCATTCCAGTGCCTAGCCTTGGCATAACTGCTTCCAAAAACTGTTCATCTTCCTGGAAGTGAGTCTCTTGTAAGGATTCCAGCAATTTCTGTAGGATATCTTATGGTACCTTCAGCCTGTGCTCTTCAGTTCAGTGAATCAGATTAGCCAGAAACTGTTGTCCAGTTCATAACTTTCTGGTTAAAGGATTCCCAAACAGACATAGCTCTTAGGCACACACGCTCACAGTTTAGGCTTCCGCCCCCCCTAGTCTGTTGATGTCTTGCCTGGTCTACCAATTCGCTTTTTACCCTCCTCTTCCTGAAAACCACTTTACATTTGATTTTATCATGATGTTTACTAGTCACCAATGAGAGGAATCCAAGGTAAAAGCCAAAACTGACAAACAATTAGCCTTGCCTTAATTGAGATTTTTGTGAGAAGTATGAGGTACTTTATTTATTACATCCTAGCAGCCTGGAATCAAATGACTACCTATTTTTCTGACCTTTCAGATTTTAAAATAAGCAAAGTAGATCTCGTTCTTAGTATTCCCATCAGTACAGATCTTTTATCTCATATAAATACTGTGGTATTTCCGGAAAAGCTATGGTATAAACTAATTTGGAAATGAACTAAATCTGTACTTCATGATATTAGTCTCTCTCTTCCTACTCTGAGTCTCTTTTTTGAGATGATGTTTTCTTTTTTTAAAAGTGAATTATTTAGGTTGAAGTGGGGCAACATTAAATGTAAAACATATGCAGAGGCAGAGAGGAGAGAGAAGTCTTTTCCTCACATTTCTACCTTGAGTTCCCTTTAATTGTATAGACTGAGAAAATGCAGTTTCCATAGCACACAGTATGAGCCTTGTTAGGTGTGTCTGTGGGGTGGTTGGATTCTCTCTTAATTTATTTCTCCTGCAGAAAATGTGGGATCAAGAAAAGGACCATTTGAAAAAGTTTAATGAGTTGATGGTTACATTTAGAGTCCGACCAACTATTCTGATGCCCTTTTGGAATGTAATGGGATTTGTATTGGGTGAGTATCTATTTAAGTGAATTTATTTTACCTAAAGGAGGCTAAGAATGGAATATGACTTAGAGTATGGACAATTTCAGGTGCTGGAACAGCCTTACTTGGGAAGGAAGGGGCAATGGCTTGCACTGTGGCTATAGAAGAGTCAATAGCACACCATTATAACAACCAGATGAGGACATTAATGGAAGGGGATCCAGAAAAGTATGAAGAACTCCTTCAGGTGCTTAGTTTTGTTTTGGAATTTGACTGATTTAGAAAAGGGTGTATGTAAAAATTGGTATTAATTAAAAATAAATTTGAAGGGATCTTAGAGATTTTTATTTTATAGGAAACTGAGGTCTAGATTTTTGAATGACTTGCTGAAAGTTTCACTGGTTGTTAGTGGAAGAGCTGGGACAAGATTCTAGTCCAGAGTGCTTTCCACTACATCACTTGTTGGCAGATTCTGAACAAATGCCTTTAGCATAAACAGAGGTCAAACAAAAAAATGAAGAGAATCTTTTAGTCAATTTCCAAACAAAATATATAGAATTATTTTGTCATTATGAACAACATATATTTAGCATCCATGTCTTTACCATCCAAATCTTTTAAAATGTTTCTACTTTAATATCTTTATTTCTTTGTGTTTAGAGATATCTGATTTCATGTGATCTACTTCTTGAAGCCAATTTAGTTGCAAGGTCAAAAGTGCCAAAGTCTTTATAAGACAGGCAGCTAAGCAGTGGTCTGTCACATTTTTTATCCTTTTTCTACCTTACTTGTGGGCCTAACTCAGAAAAAAAAAATTATATCATATACAGTCAGTCTTTGGCCCTTGCTTAATGTAATATACAAAACATCAGTAAAAGTAAATGCATTCTATAACTAACATTTATCTTCTAATATAAGATGTCCCAAGAGAATTGAAAAGAAATGTATACTGAGGGTTGGCACTATCACATAAGATAATATACGTGGAATGCTTGGTAAACCAAAAAGTACTATATAAAAATTAGATATTGTAATAATTTTTACATTTGCATAGTGCTTTGTAGTTTACAGAATAGTTTCCTTACAACAATTCTATGAGGTTTTTAAGTAGTAATATTATCCCTATTTTACAGATCAGGATACAATCTCATACAGGTTAAATATTTGTCCCAAAGTCATGCCAGCAGTCTCAGGAGCAGAGCTAGGATCTAAACCCAAGTCTTCTCAATTGAAATCTAGTGTTCTTTCTGAGATTCCAGACTCTCTGAAGACATGATTTGTATTTTCTGTCCCATAAAATGCTATTGCTGTCTTGCTATTATTTTTATTTAACCAGATAATTAAAAAATTTCGGGATGAGGAGCTAGAACACCATGACACGGGGCTTGACCATGATGCAGAATTGGTAGGTACCTGTCATTTATATGTTGCTATTGGTGCCTTGGCCACTGCTATTTGGAAAGTAAAGTGGTTGCCAGAGAAAATGGACTTAAGGAGAAAAATTATGATACATTACTCATGAGTAAATTATTCAGTTGGGAGTCCTGTTTTTTGTTCTTCCTTAATATAATTCTTCCCAGTGTCCTTTCTTCCCCCAAGTATGAGGAATGAGCAGTTCTTGTCATTTTACAAAGTTCTTACAGAATTAAAGTGAATTTTTTCTCACTTGCTAATTTATTCTGTATCTTTGATATCTATATCTCTTGCAACTCTTCATTGCACATCTAATAAAATCAATCTTATATTTCTTTTTAGGCACCAGCATATGCCATCTTGAAAGGTGCTATTCAGGTTGGATGCAGAGCGGCAATATATTTATCGGAACGAATTTAAAATAGTTATTTGTGACATTATGTAAAAGATGATAGTAACTGAAGGAGTTTTATTTGCACATGTGAGCTTTATAATTATTGTGAATTTTGTTAATAAATTGAATAATTCTACTCTGAAAAAATCTTTGATTTTTCTATATACTGCCTTCATGTGACATTCAGATATTTGATATTACAACTGACATTACAACAGAGTTATTCCTACTTTGGTCTCATCTTTAATCATTAGATTTGGATGATCACCAAACTAACAGAAAAATTTAAAAGAACAGAATCAGAATTCCTTGGCATCATAAATTACAGTCATTTAGAAACATTAGTATATTTTAAGATTGATGTGTCAAGGAGGCAGCTAGGTGGTGCAGTGGATACAGCACTGGCCCTGGAGTCAGGAGGATCTGAGTTCAAATGTGGCCTCAGATACTTGACGCTTCCTAGCTGTGTGACCCTTGGCAAGTCATTTAACCCCAATTGCCTCACAAAAAAAAAAAAAATTGATGTGTCAAGACTTTTTTTTTCAGTATTCTCTGTCAAATCAGAATGCTTACTTCATGAAGAATGGAAGGTGCTCTTTCATTTTTTTTATAAAACTATCTTTTGGAAAGTTTCTTAGTGCCCTTTAGAGAAATTGATGCAACGTGACTAAAATGATCATATTTGTATCTTTTATGATTTAAGATTCTTGGGATTCAGACAGATTAAGTGGTAATAAAATGCTTGAGGACAAGTACTGTTTTTTAGAGTGCTAGCCTTCCACATAGACATAGCACAGCATCTTCCACATAGACATATGATACATACTCATTGTATTGATTTAAAGGATACAAATTCAATTCTAATTAAACATTCAAGTAGTAACCGTAGCAGCTGGTTTGGGTTTGTTCAAAAATGTACTCCCCACAAATCTATGCTTATATTCTTTACATATGTATAGGTGAAGTAATGTTCCTGAATATTTTTGTTAAATTGGAATGAAAAAAAGATAAGATTTTATACTCAAAGTTCTTATTCTAGGTGCAGTGGTGGGACCATTTACTCTAATGCTACTTATATCATGAATCCTGTAGTCTAGAACACCCCTGAAAAGCAACCATTTGCAACTCTAAGGCAGCATATTACATCTGCTTTTGTGCTTCCAGACATAGTGCATTAAGGCTTTATTAATTTTTTTGAGGTAGGGGTGTGGGGGGAGGAGTGTAGAGGAGAGGGTTATTAGAAGGTTTAGGAAGTCCAAGGATGATAACCCTTCCACCTTTTGTCTTTGCTAACAGTGGAGACAGTCATTTCTAATGAATCATCATCTAAATATAGGACTCCAAATTTCATGTTGTACGGAAAAACTTAGTCCTATACATGTTGGGTGGAGAAACTACTACTTTAGTAGACTGACCTTTAAACCATCATAGTGATAACAAAATCTTTGACCTTCTGGGAAAGTGATGCTATTTCTTAACTTCTCATAGTTAGGTATAATTTGGTAAGTTTGAAGAATGTGTATTGGTGGTTATACTTATATAAAGGCTCTTTGCATCGTGACTGTGAAATTTATATGAGAAAAAGATATTTGTTGCTATTTGCTGAGTATATCCTTTAGAGGCAGTGAATTTCGTGTGGACTATTTGTTTATTTATTTTAACTTTTTTGATAGCTTCCAGAACAAGGCCAGGGAAATTGCTTTCTCTAAATCCCTCTTTGATTTTTCTTAATGCCATTACATCTTGTCTTTGTGTATTATAGCCATCTTGTCTTTTTCTTACCTTACCTTTCTGACCTTTCAGGGGAAATGTGCTTATAAAACTGGATACCAGCCAAGTATGATGATAAATAGTAAAATAGGTGATTGTGTCTGAAAAGACATACATTAAGAACTACAGTTCTTTCCACAGTGGGTTAGACCATACCTCTGCTTAGTGTGTTGTGTTGGTATATTGACTCACATACATATCTTACTTTGAGGTGTACTACTAGGGAGCCATCTAGAATAGAACAATATGTAATATAAAGAGAGAGATCTTTCAGAGTGGTGTTAAAGCCCTAAAAACACCTTGCTTCTGGGCATGGCTAAAGAATTTTCAAGAGAAGGATCAGTTCAATTTCCTGTTTTTCTTCTTCTCTAAGGATTTCTTTGCCTCCTGGGAATTATACCCTCCCTCTCTTGTGTCCTAAAATGGCAGCCTGCTTATGATGTGACTAAACGGGGCATGTCTTTCATAAGTAATCATGTAGAAAGATGTGCTCTGGGACTTGGCAAATGTTAAGAAAGCCTGCACTCTGTCCACCAGAGGGTGCTCCTTTCCCAGAATTAACATGTTCTTCAGTGACTTCAGAAAGATTGCGGATTTGGTATCTAACACTGCTATTGATTTCTGAAATCTGACACAGTGATAATCCTATGAAAGCTTCTTGCTTTGCTCGCTCTGTCCAGCCTAATTTCACTTGCTGGTTGTCTGGTGTTGACAACATGACTGCTTGGACTTCACTGTGACAGCTGAGCAGGAACTCTAGATTTTTTCTTCATTTCAAGATATGGTATCTCATTTGATTATACCATCCATTCTTATATTTCTTTAAGTGTTCTCAACAGGATGGTTATACTTTTCTGTCCAAAAAAGGAAGGGGTGGCAAAATGAGTGGGAATGATAGGCAGGAGATTATTCAGTGTTCAGGGATGCTTAGTGAGAATGCCAATGTCGAGCTTTGAACAAAGAATGCTAGGGAACTTTACTGGATGCCACAGTTTTGCTTCAGACAATGAGCCCAATTATTTTACAATTTGCAAATCACTACATTTCAAATTATATCTGTGATTCAAATTATATCTGTGATTTTTAGAGTGTGAACATAGCTTATGAACTGTTAGGTAAAAGTGAGGAGAACAAAAGTAATGAAATCCTGCTTTCTGGTTGACTTTCTTTGGTCATCAGGAAAGGACAGCTTGCTGTTTGCCCCTAAGGAATGGCATACAAAATCCTTGAACATATTAGCCCATTATTAAATTTCTACTTAAATTACTGGGGTAGCAATCACCTTTTAATTGTAATTAATTTCTCTTTAAATTTAGTTACAAAGACATTTTAGATGTAGAATGTCAGAGCTTCTTAATGTTTGACTAGACCAAGGCTACATAAGCATATAATAGATGTTTTTTAGAATGTAATTTTCAAGCTTTGCCATATCCAGTGTTACACTGTGTGCCTTTTTCTTTATTGTTTTCTTTGCTTCAATTTGAATGTGGTTTCTATCCCTATTTTCTCCACGCAATTCATTGCCATGACAGCTGGAAATAGAGCCTTAAGACAGCTGGAAATAGAGCCTTAAGTTTCCTTCATCAGCAGGTAACAATAGGTTGCAATTATATACCCCATGTTCAACAAATAAACTAGGTCTTTGTGCTATAATTTCCATGCCTGATTCCCTAGCAGGTTTATTGAAATAATGAATAACTAAAGGTGTCACATGTTGTACTTATTTTTTTGGGGGGGGGGTAGGCAATGGGGCTAAGTGACTTGCCCAGGGTCACACAGCTAGTTAAATGTCAAGTGTTTGAGGCTGGATTCAAACTCAGGTCCTCCTGACTCCAGGGCCAGTGTTCTATCTATTCACTTCGCCACCTAACTGCCCTACCTGTTGTACTTATTGCCTGGTACTTTAGATGTATTTAGACATGAACACTGTTGGGCCCAAGATAATAATCATTACTAATTGAATATAATTTGAATACTCTCTAAGTATGTGGCATTATACTATGTTTTGAAAAATGTCAATTTTGAAAAGTTTCAAAACATGAAGACTGTCCCTTTTCCCAAGATTAATTTGGATTGAGAACAATGAAAATCTAGCCATGTTCAAATGTGTAGAGTGATACAAAATAGCCAAAAACCCTCGCCACAACCATGTGAGGTGGGTACTATTATTATCTTCATTTTTACAGATGAGGAAACTAAGGCTGAGAAAGGTTAAGTGACTTGCCCAGAGTCACAAAACTAGTAAGTGTTTGAGGCAGGATTTGAAGTCAGCTTTTCCTGATACTAAGTCAAAAACTCTTTCCTTGGTGCCACCTAACTGCCTAAAAAATAGCATACACTTGTCATTGAAACTTGTGCTGCCAGGAAGTCCTAGCAAATCACTGTGTAGACATTTAGTCATGCAAAGAAGGAGGGGAATTGTTGGTGAACTGCTTGCTTAACTCACTACCTCTCCTTCTATTGAATTTCACTTACTAGTTGTCTGGTATTGACAGTATGATTGCTTGGGCTCCCTTGTGACAGTGGAGTATGAACTCTGGGCTTCTTCATTTCAAGATATAGTATTTCTGGTTTTAAGACTATATGTTGTTACATTCATTTCTGTGTTCTCATAAGGATTGTTATACTTTTCTGTCCAAAATAAAGAAAAGTGTCAAAACTTCTTACGATGCCTGTGAGGTTTCTATACTTAAATATAGGATCTTTTCCCTCATAGAACTTAACAGTATCAAAATGGAGGAGTCATGTTTTGGGGTGAATAGTTTTACAGAGCTGAATTCATAGGCTCTACCAATCTCAACTACGCCTTAACTGCAACTTCAACTCTTTGTGTCCCTCCCCAAAGAAATAGTCTCAAACCTTCATTTCTGTTCTCAAACCTTCCACACCGAATTCTCTACAAACCCTCTCAACTGAGGACTATCTCATACTTTACTGAGAAAATAGAGGCCATTTGCCATAAGCTTCATCTTCTTCCTTTCTTTGCATTTTAAAACCTATTGACCAGGGCAGTTAGGTGGCACAGTGGATAGAGCACTGGCCCTGAAAGCAGGAGGACCTGAGTTCAAATCTGGCCTCAGACCAAAGACTTGACAGTACTAACTGTGTTGACCTTGGGCAAGTCACTTAACCCTGATTGCCTCACCCCCAAAAAAAAACCAAACCAAAAAAACCTCAAAAAGTAAAACCTATTGACATCATCCCTAGTCCCTTCTCCTTTATTCCAGTTTTTGATAATGAGGTGATCCTTCTAACCAAGACTAACTCCTCTATATGTGTTCTTGATCCTGTCCCCTCCCAGATCTCTTCTCAAGGTTTTTTTGTGACAGTTAAGGATATTTACTTGAAGACCTATCTTAATTACTAGCTCTCCTCGG